TTCTAAAAAATATGGAACTCTGTCAAGAAATTAGTCCATCTTTCCTAAGAATGACAAACCTCCATCAGTTAGCAGTGGAAGTGAAGGAGGAGGGAGGGACAGAAAGAAGAGGAGAAAGGTTGTTGTTCTTTCCATGTCTTTTGTCTACTGATAGACCTGATGAGATGACTAGTCAAGTGTACCAGTTTGGTTGGTGTCTACAGTGTACTAATAAACATCATTTCTTTCCTCCTCGATACCTCCACATCCTCTCACTACGTCTTGCTTATAAAATGGCTCTACCTCAAGAAGATGACAAGTTGAATCGTTACTGTACATTTTGGAGAAATGGTCTTCACTGGTTTGATGACAATGGTGTAAGAGTATTAGTAGAGATTGTGGATGAGAGCCAGTGTGTGCTAGTAATGATGTCCTGTAAAAAAGGTTACAGTGACAATATGGTGTCTCTAAGAAGAGATGTGATAGGAGAGGTAATGAGTGTTTATAAAGAATCCTGCCCCAGTCTAGAGGTAAAAGAGTTAGTTATTGATCCTAAAGAACTAGCATATCCTGTGATTACACTAAGGGAAAGGACAACTTATGGTGTATATAATGTACTGTTGGCGATTACGAAAAGGAAACCATTTCTTGTGAGTGATAAAGGACAAACAGAATTGAAGGAGGTCCTACCTGATGAATCATTATCAGATATTAGTAACCTGTCACTATTAGGAGGATGTGATATTAAGGTAAGAATTGACACACACAAACTGTTTGATACATTAATACAAGCACTATATAATCAAAAGGTCATTACTTTAAAAGGTAATTTTATTTCTTATTAAATTACTCAGTCTTTGTCATAATTGTGGGTTGTCATTGTGTGGCTTTACTACTAATAATATATACTTGTACATCTGTTAAACTCACCTTTCAGCAATACACTACTGATGTATATCATCTTGATAAACAAGCACAGTGACAAATATCAGTTATTATCATTATTATTGTATAGGAAGTGATTGAAATAACTGAAGAATTCAAGACACCATTGACTCCAAGAAAGCTAGGTATGTTATAATATGTACTATCACAATTGTCAAGTAGTGGGAGTGTAGACTGTATAGTGTATATACACATTATTAATTATTATTTTTATAGATTTTAAAGATCTTGATATTGTCATTAAAGAATTAACATCAGATCAACACTTGCCCTGTTCTGTATGGCGTAGACTAGGTCTACAGTTAGGATTATATGATCCTAGACTAGTGGATATAGACACTGACTATAGAGGACAGTCAGAGGAATGTTTTCATGCTTGTATGTCTGCCTGGTTAAGAGGAGAAGATAAAGTGAGAGAGAAAGGAGGTCCCAGTTGGTCATCATTAGCTACAGCACTGGATACAATAGAAGAGAAATCTATTGCTACTTACATTAGAGATAAATATTGTACAGCAAAGTAGTTGATTTACTAGTTCTCTGTTTGGTTGTGTTATTTGTTCATTTCTTATTCTATTATTTAAAAGATAACTACATTATTAAGTACTCAAGTCAAAACAAACCCTTAGGCCTGCTATTAGACAAAGAAGCAAGCAGTGTTCTGTCGGTCTACACGTATACTACATGTACACAATAAACAGTAGCATTGTTACTGTAGTGTCAATAGAGTCCATACATGTACTATAATAGAATCAATATTACTACTCTAAACAAGTACTACTTACTATAATGCCATTCCTAAATAGTATCATTTATCACGACTATAAATGTAGTACATGTATCATTGTTACTATAAATAGTATATCCTTTACCTCTGTTCCTAAGGAAGAATGACACTATGTCCAACTGCCTCAGTTCCAGTCCAGTCTCCAGTGCATTGAGAGGGAGGGAACATTGGTCCCAGCGGTTCAAGTGACACACCTCCTCAGCTACTGACGCACTACCATACATTAATACCTAATAATAATAATAATAATGATAATAATAATAATAATAATAATAATAATAATAACAATAATGATAATTTTTTTTAAATGATGATTAATAATAATAATAATAATATTAAATTAATTAATTACTTTTCTGTACAAGTCTTCTGGTGACAGAAGGAAAGCTGACACTGATAGTGAACTACAAACCAGATAAACCAGTTTGTCCTCATTAGTGGGCAGGATCAACCAGTTCCGACACGACAAACTAAAAAGTACATAATAAAACCACACCCACCAATTAATAATAATAATAATTAATGACTTACTTGGCTAATGAATAGTATCTCTCAGAAACCTTATAAATGACAATTCAATTGGTGGTTTTTGGTTCCTGTTCTTCATTCCTTGTTTTTCCGATCCTATTCTTATCATAATACACTATTACCAATCCGTTATTATAGTGGGGATACAATAGGGCGGAGTCACTGGTCACATCACCTTCAGCTGGAGGGAGTATACACTGTATGGGCTAACTAGTGCCGCGGTGGGTGGGGCTTGAAGACATGTTGTTCTGTTTTATATTCAGTGGTTTAGTTTTTCTCATACTAGTAGTACAAACATTGCTAGACTCCTCCCAGTCTCCACCCACTCCTTTACCAAGCCACGCCCCTCTACTACGCATGTATCACTTGTCGTCTGAAACCGGTTTGACTGGTTTGTCGTGCTCTTTCGGTAGTTTAGAAACCCTGCCTAGTGAGAAGCCATGCCCCTCATTAAGATTCATCCTATCAATGTTCCTCATTAGTCTATTGCATCGCTTAGCAATGGATAAATGGCCAACAAAATTTATGACGTATTTTGCTCCTTTTTCTTGTCTTATCAGTCCACTGTACCTCCCTCTCTCTGGCTCCTCCTCAAGGCTGATGGACGGGGCCTAGAACTGCTGGGTGGGCGGGACTCTCTTAGTTGACTTTTGATGGAAACTTTTAGAATAATGCGAGGAGAACATGGAAAAATAAAACCCTAAATTGACGGCAATGATGTAGTGGGTTTTAGTGGAGACACAGAGTTTCATTAAATCAGGAGAGATGAGATCTTATGAAATGAAGACAGGGACAAGGTTTGTAGGAGAGAAGGACCATCTAAACATAAGAAAAATAGATAGGAGGTATTTTAATTTTAATTTTATTGTATAATTTTAAGTGCTTACCTGAAGTGTTATAGCTAAACATTCTACAGTATTCCAGTGGATGAATGGCAGCAATGATCATAGCATTAGAGATACTGTAGACCACTGGATAATAATAATAATAATAATAATAATAATAATAATAATAATAATAATAATAATAATAATAACTGTAAATCAGGAAAATTATGTGGTATAAATTTTGTTTTTTGAAATTGTGCTGAGACTTAATTTTTACTAAATACATGTATGACTGTGTCTTGTAATGCTGAATGTGGCATATACTGTACATGTACATGTAATTGCATGCATGATCTAATTTTTTGCAAATTTCTAATCCTGAAAAATTAAAATCATAGTACAAATTTCCAGATGGTATTATTTTTATAATACTATTGTTGATAATGATGATGACGTAATAACAATTATAAATGTACATGTACATGTAAGTTAAGGATTATAATTGTACATTAGTAATGAAAGATACCTGTGCAAGTACATGTACCTGTAGCTCAATGAGAGTAATACAAAGAAATATTTTTAAAATGGGCATAATTTTAAAAATCTAAAGGCGGATTTACAATATGACATTAGGCCAGCGTACTGTCAATTTTTAATCAAAAGCGTGGGTGATTTGACCTTTTGACGCATGCTTTCTGCTGGAATAGAACCAGATTCTATTCCAGTGTCAATGTAATGTCAGGACTAGTGTAATATTGTAATTCCGCCTTAAGTCAAAATCAGCTCAAACTTCCTACATAGCATAAGGGCATCAATATGTATCAGAAATTATAATAAAAACTACAAGTGATTTTTAGCCAGTTTTTGGAAGAAAGCATGAGCTATAGTCTTGGGTAATTGGCACATAATTTTCCAGTTATGGGAGCTAATTTTTGGAAAACTACTCTTGGCAATAGCCAATGGTTTTTTTTCAAAAATTTGGCTTCAAAATCAACCCTAATTTTTAATTAAATATTTTGATGCATTACCAATTTTCCCTATAGAGCATGCTAAGTGAGCTAAACAGCATGAGCTTCATGAGCTGACAAGCACTACATGGCATTTGAGCAATTTCAAATTTTTTTTAAAATCCAAATTTGACTAGAATCAGTTCAAACTTTCTACACAACATAACTACATGTACATGTATATGTATCAAAAAAGTTATAAAAATTAAGAATTCTCTTTTTTCATTTTTGACGAAATTTGGCCAAAATCCCTGTACAGGGTCTTTGACCCAGTTTTAAGCAACTTTACAATTAATCCACTAAAAAGAGCTGATGCCAAAATTTTGTGAGAAATCCTTACACATTGATGTCTTTATGTTATGTACTACATGTACATTTGTATGTAGAAAGTTATTAACAAACAATTTTTGAGTTATGAGCATTTTAAAACAAGTTAATTTTCAAAAAAGTATTTTTTCTGATAATTAACTCCAAAATTACCCCAATTTTTCATTACATTTTAAATACACATTAATGTTTTTTATGCTATGCAGAAAGTTTAAGTTGTATCTGACAAATAATTTTAAGTTATAATTATTTTTAAAAGCAAATTGCAAATTTGCTCTAAACGACTCCAATATACATGTAGTACATTGTCTTACATCAAAACATAAATTAAAGGAATTCTGCATTACTACCATAGGGCACCTCTTATTCGAGGGCTGTAAATTTCGCAAATTTGCTTAGAAATCAATTTTGCAGATTTAATTTTTGTGAATTTATGTCGTCTGCCATCTTTTACTGTAATAATTTGATTTTTGTGGAAGTAAATTTCGTGAATCTCAAAGAAATCACGAAATTCGCAAAAATTTACAGCCATCAAAAAAAGGTGCTCTATGGCATTAAATTTTCTGATTTGCATGTACATGTACTTTATTTACACTCCCTTACTCTGTGAGTAATGTTGCTCTTGTCTCTAAGCTGATTCTCATCTCCAAATGCTCTCCTCCCATTTTAGTCTCTACCATCATACGGCATGTGGGCAGGGTGTAATAGATACTGTATAAACCAAAGGATAAACAAAGTAATGGACTGTATTAATGAGGGATCTTGTACCTACTTGGAGCAAGTAAAGGTTATTAGTCAGACCTCTGGCTAAGAATATTAGTATCTATAAACAGAGAGAACTGAAGGAAGGGTAGGGTGAGGAGACTCAGACTGTCAACTCCGAGGTCAACTCATTTACTGTACCTCTCATGACTCCACGTGGTTAAAAGGCAAGGTCTACCACGCCCATACCACGCCCCTGATATTTGATGCAAAAAAATTATTTGTGGTGAAAATTATATTTTTTGCCAAAAAAAAATTAAAATATTATGCTGAAAAATAAAATAACTTTCAATCCAAATTTCAAATTAGAGTCAAGCCTTGATGAATTAAGATTGAGTAAAGCCTTGCTGGTATCTACAAAAATAAATAATAAATTATTCTTGGAAGTATTTTTATTTATAATGACAAATAAGTTCATCTACAACAAACCTGAATGTCAAGTAATCTTTCAAACCTATACTTCTTGATTTAGCTCACTCCATTAGTGCAATCCTACCCTCCTTGCCTTCTGGACTAATCTACAGTATACAATTGTTGACAATAAAACATTTGATGCTACAATGCTAAATTTATTTATAAAAATCATTTTGTGGTACAAGGTGACAAACAACAATTTAGGCTTGACTTACATGCACAAAATATTCCTTGCCATCACCTCACCAATAACAAATGATGGCATGAGTTAAGTGTTAGATGAACATTATCAGTGTTAATGATTCATACCTTAAACATACCCTGGAGCAAGGTAATGCTCAATAGCTTTCTGCAAGTGCAATAAAGCTAGCTGCTTTCTGAACAGGTAATGGAAGACCAAGATTTGTACAATACCTAGATTGTAATGATAACAAAAAATTATTTTTATTCACTAACCACAAAATCAGCATTGCTGGGTTTGCTATGACGAATAAGTTTGAAGCATCTTCCTATTTCTTTCTTTGAATGAAATGATACAGCACATTATTTCTGCATAGAATTAAAAAAATACCAATAAAAATACAAATCTGTTAAAGAGCTACAATGCATACTGTATAACTCTAATCAGTATCAAACAAAATCATTACATAAATTACAAAAATAAAGGCAAGTAACCACAAAGTTTGAGCACTTATCTTTGACAAAATAAAATTTTCAACATTCAAGGGCATGCCATAGAAGTATATAAAACTCACAAAATTCAGCCTAAAATTAAAGTCACAAATTATCACCACAAAGCATGGTGAGCTGGAGCTGGTGAGCATTTTTTATGAGTGGACAAGCCTAGTCAACTTCAAAAGTTTATAAAAATGATTGGAATGAGCTCAACCTTCTACACAACATAAGAACATGTATAGGCTTTTAAAGAATTATTATAACAATAAGGCCATAGCATTTGGTTATTGGCCTGATTTTTGAGCAGCTTTAAGAAACTCTTAAAAATAAAAAAATCCATACACAACACAAGGACATATATGTATTAGAAAAATTATAAAAGTGGAGAGTTCTCAATGCCAAAGACCTGTACTATAGTACAGGGTATTTTAACACTGTATATGATAACTGGCACAAGCTACATTGAGTTACTAATAAAACTAGTACTATGGAACTAATAAAATATTAACTGTTCCCTTTTTGCACTCAGATGGTCAAGCTTTTCATTATCCCTCAAAAGGGGCTCTTCTTCTTGAAACTCATAGTGCTGAAATGAGGAAGTGAAATTTAATTTTGAACAGCAATGTCCCTTCATTACTATGTATATGTGAATTACTACAGTAATCAGGAAAGTAGTCATTGACAGACTAACTGATAATGCAGTTATTGCTGTTATAGAAGTTGTTCCAAAGTTTGATTCAAATTCATTTATCAATGCTATTGATAATGCTGTTATACCAAGATTAGCCATGTAGAATAATTCCAGTATA